AAAAAAAAAAAAAAAAAAAAAGCAAAAGAAAACTCTCCGACGGGGAATCGAACCCCGGTCTCCCGCGCTTGCTACCAGCAGATGCTAATGACAAGCGGAAATCATCACCACTAGACCATCGAAGATGTAGATGCTGTGCATCTGATGGTTGAGGTTGTTTCTACAAAATGGAACTTTATGGGAGGTTTATTTTTGGGGGGGTGAAAGGGTATGTGTGGTTGGGGTGCAGTAGCGATCACCCGTCAACTCTACTCAACTCAACTCAACTCATCGTTGCACCTAGTTTACCTACCCTACCTATCTATCTACCCATCCACCCGTCCATCCATCCATCCCGCACACCCCCTCACCATCCACCGCGACGGGCTAGGCTGGGGCTGTCGTGTCTTGCGTGTGGTGGGTGTGGAAGGTGCAAGGTGGGCAGGGCAGGGCAGGAATTATCACGCGCGTGGGCGGGTGGGCGGGGAAGGGAAGGGAAGGGGAGGTGTTGAGTTGGGTTTCTGTTGGTGGCCGTCGTGCCCGCTGGGGCTCATCACTTTCGCGGCCGTGGTGGTGATGATGGACATGATCGGCGCGATTTGCGAGCGAGCGAGTGAGGAGGGGGCCGCATGCAGCGCAGCGCAGTCGTCGAATCCAGGAAACGCGACCGGGATGACGTCGATCGCGACGACGACGACGACGACGACGGCGGCGGCAGAGAGGAGGTCCTCACATCGTTGAGACAGCGTTATCTACCATGGGCGATCAGGAGGTGGGAAATCAGCCAGATGGCGGCAGGTGGGGAATCAGGCAAGCAGCGAGCTTGCAGTTTGCACGAGGGTCGAGGGTTCGGTGGAGCTCGCAGGTCTCGGGAGCGGGACGATCGGCTGACTAAGTGGGGCGGAGGAGAGGAAATCAAAACACTCACGGTGCATTCCTCGGCTGCGTAGATTGCGTGGCGTAAGAGAGATCTTGTTGTTGCTTGTTGTTACTTATCGCGACGACGACGACGGGGACAAGGCTCAAGGCTAGCCTCCTGCCCGCCTGCGCCGCCGCCGGCCTCTCCCCCCCTGCAAAAGCCGCCGGAGCTCTCCCCAGCTCTTCTTCTTCCTGCCTCATCCATCCATCCCATCCACTCACATCATCTCTCTCCGCTCTCCGCTCTCCACTCTCGCTCACGACCGTCACTCGCTCTTCCGTCCCTGCATCGGCCCACGACTCGCTGCACGCCCGCACCGCCATGCTATAGCGCCCACACCACACCACCACCATGGCAGACCAGTACATCAGCTTCTCGGGCCTGCCCGCCTGCGCCCAGCAATGCGCCGTCCTGACGAGCGCGCGAGCCGGCTGCGTGCCCACGGCCGCCGCCGTGACCAACCAGGCCACGTACAACAGCTGCTTCTGCCAGAGCGACTTCCTGGCGCCCTTGAAGGCCGCCGGCGCCGTCTGCGCCGACGTCTGCACCGCCACGGCCGACCAGACTGCCATCCAGACGTGGTACGCCAGCTTCTGCGCCAATGGCGGCACCAACAACAACAACAACAACAACAACAACAACAACAACGGACAAACCACCACGCTCACGACTAGCGACACGGCCGCCACGACGTCGGACGCGGACGCCGGCGCTAGCACAGCCGGAACCTCGTCCGGGAAAGGCAGCACCTCCACCACCACCCACCACCACCACCAGAGTTGGTACGCACCTCGCGCCTCGACACGCGCCTCGACACGCCCCCCGCTCCCGCTAACCTAACGCTCCCGCAGGATCGCAACGCACTACCAATGGGTCATCTTCCTGATCGTCGTCTTCGGCTCCATGATCCTCATCTCCATCCTCGGCGTGTGGTACAAGCGCCGCCGCCGCGCGCGCCGCGACCTCCTCGGCGCCAACCTCGCCGCGCACGGCGACGCGCCCGTGTCGGCCGTCCCACCGCCCTTTCTCCCGCCCCCCATGGCCCAGGCCCACGCCAGCAGCACGCTGAACTCGACCGTCGACCTGTCTTCCGGCGGCGGAGGCGGCGCTGCAGAAGCAGGAGCCGCAGGATCAGGAGCAGCCGTAGCAGACAACGGCCCCTCCTCCGGCCGCGGAAACCCAATGCGCCCGCGCCGCCGCAGCAACACGCTCACGCCGCGCCAGAGCAACACGGACCTGACGGGCACGACGGCAGGCGCAGGCGCGGCAAGCACGCCCAGAGCCAAGGGCCGCGTGACGGAGATGACGGGGGCGGAGGCGGGGGGGTCGAGCGCCAGCCTAGGCACGGGTGCGGGTATGGGCGCGGCCGACGGCTGGGGCGGCCTGGCGCAGGAGCGCAGCGCGACGGCGTCGCCTGTGTCTGCGTCGGCGTCGGCGGACGGGAAGGTGCGGCGGAAACTGAGCAAGCGGCAGGGTTGACGGGGGTGCGTGTGGTTGCGCGTGTGTGCGCATGGGGCCTGATGAGTGGGTTTGGGAGTCCGGGTTATGGCGTTTGGTATGTATGGCGCGGTATGGTGCGGTATGGTATATGGTACCGTCATCTTTTTCTTTTTTCCTTTTTCTTTTTCGACGCGGGGAGGGAGGTGGTTTGAAGGGAGAGCGCATGATGTGTGTGTCGGTGCTGTCGAGACGAGACGAGACGAGTCCAGTCAAGTCAAGTCCAGGCGAGGAAGGGAAGGGCAGGAAGGGCAGGAAGGGCATGAAGGGCAGGGCCGTTTTCTCTTTCTTTCTTTCTTTCTTTCTTTCTTTCTTAGGATGAACATTTAAGGTGGGGATATCAAAGGTGGGATATTAAAGATAGGGATATTAGTTACGTAGGTCGTAGTGCTTAATCGGTAATCGTAGTATACTTACATCGACTTATCGACTTATCTGGTGCAGGGATGGGATGGGGTGTGGCATGTGTGTGAGTGTTGAAGTCGAGAGGGAGAGAGAGAGGGAGAGAGTGAGAGAGAGAGAGAGTGTGTGTGTGTGTGGATAGCGTTGCATCAGAGGCCGCTTGCGTCTTGCGTCTTGCGTCTTGCGCCTAGAGCTGCGTGCGAATATTAAATCAACTCCGGCTTCAGCGACTTCAGGCTTCGGCTTCAGCTTTACCTAGTTTCAGCGACAGCTTTAACTTCGGCTTTGACTTCGGCGACTTCAAATCTCGGCGACTTTATAAGCACGGCACGGCACGTTGGGCAGGTATATTAGGCAGGTAGGCAGGCAGGCGTCTATCGTCTGTGGATGTCGGGAAGAGGGGAAGAGGGGAAGAGATAGGAGGGAGGAGAAAAGGGGAGGAAGACGGGTATATCTATCCTTGTATTACTTTTATTTTATAAAAAAATAAAATAAAAATAAAAATAAAATAAAATCAGAAAAACAAAAAAATAAAATTAGAAATATATATATATATATTATATTTGTACAAATATTCCCCAAGCACCTTGTCCACACTCTTGAATCCGATACCCCACCACCCACATACAACCCTAACCCCGATCTAAACCTCACTCCTGTCTAAACCTTATCCCCGAATAAACTTGACAAACACAACTATAACCCGCTCAGCGTAGTAGCACAGCCGTAAGCAACGGCTTACCTACTGCGCCAATTAAGCCACCTGCAGGGCTAAAAGATAGATGGGGACGAGAGCGATTTGCAATCGACGCTCTGGCTTGGCATACCTAGGTATGAAGGCGTGTCACGTGGGGACGAAGGCTTTTATGATAGTATGGTATATAGTGCAGCGCAGGGCGTCAACATCAGCTTTATTAATAGCTCAGACTTAGATTTCAGCTTCGACATCATCAACAGCTTTAAATTTTATAAATATACACACATAGACATCCTTCCCTCCCTCCTTCCTTCCTTTTAGATATCCACCCCCCTCCCCTCCACTCCACTCCAAACACACCACAAAACCACACGCCCTGTATACACACGTACACACACGCACAAAGCCTCCCAGTCCAGTCCCAGGATATTACTTACTACCACGCTCACGCTCATCAGCCAATCTGCCCTGCTGTGCCCCGCTATGCACACCCAAACCCGCACCCCGCTTTATCCAAGCAACCCTATAACCAACCCCCAACCCCCTACTCCCGCCGCCTAACAACAATATTCGACCCCGTACTCAACGATCTCGATCGCGGCCGCCACTGCTGGCGCCTCCTCGACTTAGACCTAGATCTAGCGCGTCCTCTCCGCTCCTCAGCGCCAGATACCGCGCCATCAACGTCCGTGTCGTCACCGTTTGTGTGGGTAGCAATGCTAGTTTTACCGGCAGCACCACCCATCACCCGCGTGCTCCGCCGCCGCTTGGCCGCGCGCTCGCTGATGCCCTCGTCGCGCTCGCGCTCAGTCTCCCACTCCGTCTCCCACTCGGTGACGGGCTCCGGCGGCGCCGGCGCTCTAGTCGCCGCGACGTCTGTATCTGTATCAGCGTCTGCGGCTGCGTCTGCGTGGGTGATTGAGGGCGCAGGCGACAGCGAAGGCACCCGCCGCCGCTGCTGCCGTTGCACCTTGCCCGGCGGCGAGGGCGGCGGCGGCGTCGCAGACATGTCGCAGAACGACTGCGAGCGGAAGCGCACGGCGCGCCGGTAGCCGATGACGTCGAGGCACTTGCCGACGACGACGAGGATGTCCGAGGGGGAGCGGTCGCGCGAGGGCGGGACGGGCGGCGTGGGCGCCGGCGGGAGGTTTTCTTCTGTTAGGGGCAGGATGGCCGCCGCGTCGGCCGGGGCGGGCGGGGACGTGGCGGCGTCGTCGTCGTCGTAGTCGTGGCCGATTTCGATTTCTGGTGCTGCCATTGACGGATCCCTCCGCTCTCTTGCTTGCGCCCCCTGCCTCGCCTCCTCCCTGATATCAACAAGGTCGACCGAGCACGCGCTCGACAGCGGGCTCGACGGGTGGCTCGACGGCACCACTTCCTCGGCCCAGCTCTGCACAAAGTACATGGGCGCCATAGGTGCATTTCCTTCGCGAGACCACGGCGGTGCGGCCGAGGCTTTGCCAGCGGGCGCGGTTGCCTCTGCCTCGGGCACGAACGGGCCGGCCTCAGGACCAAGTCCCGCATCTTCCGACTGCCTCGGGGCACACGGGACCTCAGGGAAGACGAAGCGGAAGGTTCCCGTAGTTTCTGCGTTGTTTTCGTCGGCAGCGATGCCCACTTGCTGGCTCTCGGGCTCAACAACAGGCGGGGCTGACGGTCGATGGCGCTCAGATCCCGGGGTGCTCGCGCGCCCTTGCATTGCGGTTGCGTCGGCGCTCTCTCCGTGCAGGCCGGGCTCTGGTAGACCTCTCGCAGCGGCGGCTTCGGTGGCATCTGCTGCATCTGTCGGAACTGCTCTAGCTGCGCTATCCGGGAATGGGGAGCCCGTCGTCCCCTCTTCCGAAGGACCCCAGAAGCCCAGACCGGGGTCTTCCTGCGCGGTCGCATCGTTAACGGCGACGAAAGTGTTTGCCCGCCGATCATCGTCCCGCGCGTGCTCTTCCGGTGGCATCCTGTCGTCGTCGTCGGTCGAGCTCTGGACATTGCTGTCCACGTCCGGCATGTCGAGAACAATCTCCTCCGGTCCATCCTCGACCTCCACCACGTCCCAATCGTCGCCGTGATCGTGCGCACCGCCTTCCGCCCCCGATCCATCTTCCTCGTCCCCGTCCACGAATCCATCGAACCGGGGCGTCGCAACGACAATAACCGAGCCCGACCTCGAGCTCCGGCCGCTCCGGCTAGACGCCGAGCTTTCTTCCGTCGTGGTTATAGGCGACGATACCTTTACTCTCAACGGAGGCGGCAGAGGCTCGTCGGGATCATCGTCGCGCTTCCGCTTCTGCCCGCTGTTGGGCTCGGCAGGCACAGGGCGAGGCTTGCCTGGCTCAAATCCGGCCCCTGGCCGAAGCCCAAGCGCAATCCGTACTACCCACCTCTGGCACTCCTCACAGAGCCGATCGCCATCTGCGGAACAGTCTGGGCAGGATTTTCTCCCATTTTCATCCGCCTGTTGTGGCGGGATCAAACTCGCAGCGAGTTGTTCCTCGCCGGCCACTGGCAAGGGAGGCCGATCGGCGGACGAGCCCTGCCAAAATGGATCATGAAACTCAGCAATTCGATCAATCGCTGACTCGGGCTGACTATCACCCACTCTTGTCATTCCCTCGTCACCTTCAGTAGCATGAGGCCGCCCCGAGATCGCTGGTTCCTGACGCGACGGCGCGGAACTCGTTTGGTCCAGTTCCCTAGGGCGGCCATGGTCCGCAAGGGTTTGTGGAATGAGGTTGTCTTGTTCTAAGCCGCTTTGATTCCATTCGGCAGGCCAATCTTGCGGCAGCGGTGGCTGTGCTGGCCTCGATCGTGACCTTGGTTGCGCTGGTCTTGACCGGGACCTTGATTGCGCTGGTTTCGATCGTGATCTCGGTTGTGTTGCTTTAGACCACGATCTCGATGTTGCTGAATTTGAACGTGCTTTCTTTGACTGCGCCTTTGCTCGTGCCGGTTTGGCCTGCGTAGGTTTTGGCTGAGGTGCGGGTTGTGGCGGTTCCGGCTGTACGGGTTCTGGAATTGTTTGTGAAGCAGCTCCTTCCGTTTCCTCGCGATTCATATCACGACCTTCAGTCAGCGGGATGAACAAACCGTCTTCATCGGGCGTGTCGTCTGCCGCCGTTATATCGGGTAATTGATCATCATCATCGTCATCTGCCATGCCCTGCGGGTCGTCCAACTCCATCTCATCATACCGTGGATAATGGACGCCGTGGTTCCGTGAGGACTCCGCCGATCTGACGTCTTGAACTGATGCAACATCCCGAAGTGGAATAGTTGCGGTTTGCATTGCGGAATTTTCTAGCACTACCGTCCTCAACCCTGCCAATGTCATTGCAGCAGTCAAGTCTCCGCTGTCTGTAAACCTGTCCTTGTGACCACTGAAAGCCGGCTTGGGGTCCGTTTGCGTGGCCGCATCCGTCGTTTGAGGTGGCAAACGTGCAGCTTCCATCGTTTGCGCAAACCTATCGACATAAGCTCGCACGGGTCCTTGATGACGCTTCGAGGCTAAATCTTGCGGTTCGTATCTTTCTGCTTGTTGCCCAGCGGTCGTTGCGGGATAGGCCGTGATGGGATCTTCGTACGGGTCCCAGCGATCATCGCTCTGGCCGTCATCTTCGACGTTCTTCTGAGCAACCTTCGAAGGATTTCCCGACATAAAGGGACTCAAACTGGCGTACTGTGGCGTGTGCCAGAGGAGATGTGGAAGAATAGGCTCTGTCGGCGGCGTAGGCGCATCGAGTGCGGGCGGAGCAGAAGCAGCGCCGATTCTTTCGCTAGTAATACCAAGTGATTCTCTCGGCGCAACAGGCGACTGCTTAAACGATGGACGATACACATCAGCACGACCAACGGAAGGTCGCGGGTTGGCCTTGCGGCGCTCAGAAGCCCGCGACGGTGTTCTTCGATCTTCGTTCTCCCGAAAGCTGCCTCTCTGCAAATGTGAGTGCCGCCTCGCATCGGAGTCAGACTGCGGGTTTTCACCCAACTGCCTTTCGGTGACGTTGTGGAATCCCCTATCAGGGTGTTCTCTTGGAAAACATCAGCAATCGCCACAAGCTCAAGGCGCATCAAACGAACCTCTTGTGTGATTCCAGCTGCCATTCATGAGCGAAACTGAGCCCACAAGGTGGGTAAGCTGTGCAATGGAAAAGGTTCCGCGTAACTTCATGAGGAGCGCTTGCGCCGACATCCGACATTGTAGAGCTCGGCCGTTCAGAAGACGAGGGTCGTCGTTGTACACGTGGATCTCCGCGCGCTGCTCTTGCGCGATTCGATTGGTTCGCCCATGCCACTGTTGCTGCCGTCTGGTGGTGCTCAGCTCGCGAGTGTCGATCGAGGCCTTCCTGGCTCAAACATATCATTCCACAATGGCATTTCAAAGGCTGTATATCGGTGTATGTCGAAGATCGCCTAGTAAAAGGTCAGATCTGACCATCTCGAGCGCCCCATTAAACCGTACCTCCGAGAAGTGGCAACATCACGCGGCGCCAAATTGTGAGCCTCTCCTGGTCTGTTCCCCTCCGTATCCGCAAGTATGGGGTCAGAAGCTGGCGCGACCTCGCTGGAGGATTGGGCTTCCAAGAGAGCTTGCAGAAAAGGGTGCTTGGGCCTGCTTGCGCTGGCCGGACGATCGGATGGAAAAGGAAAGGAATCTCCTCGACGACTGACGGATCCCGGAGGGCAACTAGAAAGGGTCGTTTGCGTCCGCGGCTCGAGAGGAGTTAGTTCAGGCAGCCCCGATGCATGTATCTCTTCCCTCATATCTCTTTGGCGCTCACCTGCCGCCAAACCAACGGGATGTCGGGAGGTCTTTCGCGAGCGGTCGAGTGAGGGACGGGTAGGTGGGCTTGCTGCAGGACGGAATGGTACGACGGCAGGGAGTGTTGGTCGTGTGGAACAGTGGAGAAGCCGTTGTTGGGCGCGAGCTCAAGGTGCGGAGAGAGCGAGGACGGGACGTTGGCAATGGATCCATCCGGGAGGCGGGAAAGCGAAGAGGATGGGTGCATAGACGAAACGTCTAAAGGCCAGTTAGCGACAAAGTGAATTGAATAAGAAGCCCGAGCTGGGCCATGGGCCCCTTGGAGAGGCCACATGGTTGCGTAGGGCGCGGTTGGGTGTTGTTGCCATGGGCTTTGGTGTGTGCCCGAGCAGACAAACGCACCGTTTGTTTCTGAGCACGCGCGGAGCCGAGAGGCTGGGCATCTGGATGGCCACCGCAGACGAGCGCAACAGGGATAGATCAGGGGCGCGGGTTGCGACAAAGCAACGTTCGCCAGGCGGGGATGAAGAAAGAGACGGCAGACATCTTGACGCCAGAACGCGCCGGGATCGCGGCGAACGAACGGGCTTTGGGCTGGCGCTGGCGCTGGCGGGCGCGCGGGGAAGGCGCCGGTCGTCACGTGAAGACCATCACGTAACTGTTGATGACTAAGGCGAGATTACTAACACGATATTACTAAGCCTACCTTCCATCGCTCCTACCCGTTGTTCCCCGTGCACGCTCCCCAGATGTACGCCGCCCAACTGCCCGCCACCAGCGCGCTCAGCGCCCCGAAACACCCCAGACTGACCCGTCTGTTGCGCTCGCCCCGCTCCTCCTCGAACCGCTCCCTTTGCGCGTTGATCACGTCGCCCCGCCGCAGCCGCTGCTTCTTCGTCCACTGCAGCCGGCCCAAGTCCACCTTGAACCACCCCGTCACCAGCAGCCCGCCCGCCACGGCCACCGATGCCGCCGCCAGAATCACGTAGACGATGACGACGCGGTCGTAGCTGTTGTCGTCTCGGTCCTGTATCGCTCCCGTCACGATCCGAACTATAATATTCATGCTGTTGTTCATTTGGATCTTGGCTGCGTACGCCGACCCGAAGACCTCCTGGTGCCACATGGCCGTGCGGATCGAGTCGATGATCACCGTGGGGCCAAAGGTCGATGCGATGGCGTAGATGCCAAACGCCGCCCCCGTGCCCGGTCTCGTTGGAGCCCAAGTGACGAGCACCATGGCCAGCAGCATGCCCGAGCCGCAAATGGACAATAGCGTCAGCCGGTTCCCGAAAAGGTCGACAAAGGCGCCGATGCATGGCACGAGGAAGAACCCTGCGTACTGCGACAGCGCCGAATACCACCCGGCTGTGACGCTGGAGATATTGAAGCGCTGCTCGGCCAGCTCCGTCGAGTTTTGCGAGAAGACAAGGGCGCAGCTCGTCTGGAAGAGAGAGAAGAGCAATGTGCACCAGAAGGGCCAGGGCAGCTGCAGCGCCTTCTTGACCTCAAACTTCTTGTTCTTCTCCGTCAGCCGTTCGCCGGTCGCCGGGTCCGCGTGCCCCGTGTAGAGCTTGTTGGCGTAGCGCGTGAAGAACCAGAAAATGAGGGTCGCGACGTTGGTGAACAGGTTCATGAAGACGCTCGTCCAGAACACCCAGCTGAAATCTCCCGTCTTCTTCGCGATGATGTTGGCCGTCGACTTGCCGACGAAAGAGCCAATCTTTCCGATGCCCAGCTCCAGGCCCAGCGTCGATGCGAAACCGTGATTCGGCGCAAACCACGAGCTGAAAACCTTGTATTGGGCGACCTGTGTCGCGATGTCGCCGAGGGCTGCGACGACCCTTCCGAATATCATAAACTTGAAAGACCGGACGGTGGCAGCGGCAGCGATCAAGATGGAACCGACTGTGAAAAGGGCATTTCCCCAGAGCATGGCACCTAGTCTCGTTAGCCATGTTCGAAGAAAAGCCCGCAAAACGACCACATACCCGCTCCGCCGACCCGATCAGTTGCCAGGCCGCTGAACATGATCAGGACCGTGACCATGAAGTCCTCACTGGCCTCTAGCAGCGCGAATTTCGTGTTGTCGATGTGGAGTTCCTATTGCGGCCGTCAGTGCCATTCGACGCAAGGTAGTTGAGCAAATTACCCTTTTCAGCGTCTTCTTCATGGCCCCGGTGACACCGCTGCTCCAATGCGCGCCGAAACCAATGGCCGAAACCATCAGGACGGACAGCAGCTTCATGTACAGCGGCACATGAGTGATTTCCGTCGCGCTGTTCGCATCTGAACCGTCAGTGGTCGGCGACACCTCCACCACATCCTGAGTTTTGATTTCCGACAACTGAGGAGACACTAGCTCCGCATTAGCATCCCTCTCTTCGATTGAAGGCCCCATAGCTTCTGTGGTGGTGACAGCGCCGGACAAGCCCAGAACCAGATGATCAGATAAGATGCGCGCCCACCCAGCTTTTGTACCGCACCACTTCGGCCCATCACGATCTACCACCGGGGCAAGTACTGTCTACGGCTCGCATCCGCCCAAACCCACAAGCTCTTCCTTGCTCCTCACAGCCCATGTGTGGGTCATGGTCAGGGCCGCTGGGTGCTGTCGTTCCGTGGAAGCGGAACTGGGTGTTAATCTTATTAATAGCCGGGCAAAAATCTTATCAGATCCACTCTCGCGTGTCTCGGCCGCTTTGGTGCCGCCGCCTTGGCAACGGACGTCTACACGCATGACTCGTCGTGCGGTATCGGCGAATGAAGGCGGAAGTTCTTAAGGTCTGGATGTTGAAGATCGTTCGAGCCGAGTCAAATGGTGCGCGTGTGGTCTTTTTCCGCTGAAAATGGAGACATCTCGGCATCTCGGCTGACAACTGAACATCGCGGGCGATCTGCGCTCCGCAGCCCTGAATAACTACTTGCGGTAGGTGTTTGCAGATTACCGTGAGCAACGTTCAAGGATGGGGCAATCGATCTGGTCACCAGATCCAGGTCTTTTGCTGCGAGGTTGACTGACTGTGCTGTTGTACTACCTACACGCCTTTGCAACGTACTTACCGGTTGCCTTTTGGTTGAGTGGAACCTCAATACATACGTGCGATCACGCTGCCTAGCTAGGGCACTATTGCATCCGCTATGCGTTACTGTCAGAAGTGTACGCTGCGTATATCGCTCAGCTCCGCTTCTACCACGACTGCAAGGGTAAGAATTTGGTCAGTATTGCTTTTGTCTTTGCTTTTTCTCGTCTTAATATATGTACTCTTACGTTCATCATCCCATCTATGTAAGTCATACTTTCCAGCAGATATAACGCGCGCATCAGCAGGCTGCATCTCTCATCCATCGTGCCATCCGTCCCAGGAAATCCCTTCCAACCCAACTCGAATATACCGCACCGCATCACACCACACGGCAGCGCTGCGCAGAGGTTGCCTGCGTTATCGTACCACGGTGCGCGATCGGATCGAGCGAACATGTATTCATGTACGTCCCTACATAGGTACATGCGGCCCGGAGGACAACGACGCAAGGGAAACACAGCTGTGACGGAACGTGCCAAATACCCGCGGTCAGCTGCGCGTGGTCCAGCGTCGCAGGCTACTGGCCGCAGGCAGCATCCACCCGCTCACTGCCTGCCACGCACGCAAAGCGCTCACCGGCCAAGCCCGCCTGCCCTCCATCACTCCCGTCCGTGACACCCGTCCGCCCGACCACCACTGTCTTTGCTCCAGTGCGCGGCACAGGTCATGACTGGCGGCCGGCCGGCCGGCTTCTGCTGTAGGTCGTGCGGGCCCTTCCGCCGCCGCCTGGCGTCGCACCGCGTCTGCCTTCCCTGGCTGGCTGCTAGTTGGGCTGCGCGCGTTGCAGGTACGACTCGCGCCTCCAAAAATATCCCTGCGCGCGGCGTTCGTGCATGTGTGTATGTGTGAGAGTGTGGCTTGGACGGCGGGGCATAGTAGCACAGCGTCGACGCTGACGTGCAATGCGCACTCGACTCTTACGGGCTGGCGCAGACTCGAGCCCGTCGCACCGCCACGTCGAGAAGCCGTGCCAAACTGTCACAGTGTGGCAGACAAAGGAAAAAGGAATCCTGGTGCAGCTGTCGCGTTTTGTGATTTTTTTTTTTTTGGTGCTGTCTCACTATCGATTTCCGCCCTCGCACGCTCGCTGAATGCACTGTGTAGCCTCCCCTATCAATACTGCTGCCGTCGCTACAGAGGATGCCCATTACCATTACGTTACTTGCGTGTTTGCTTCAACCACTGATGGATGTCTCGAGCGGTAAGGCGCGTCGGCCAGTCTGTTGGTCTCACAGCTATGCTGCTTGACTTGGTGGCTGGCTGACTGGCTGGCGCGCAATACCAATGAGACAAGAAGCATTAGAAGGCGCAAAGCCATTAAGAAATTAAGAAATAAGAAATAAAAACACTACTAGCAAATAAAAAAATCGTAACACGTCAATGTCGTGTCAATGTCTCATCACATCCCATACATCATCATCAACATCGTCAATGAATGCAAGCACATGCATCATTCTTCATCATCGCATCACCTCATCAGCTCATCACCTCATCACCTCATCACACCAAAACAAGCAGCGCGCCAACACCCAACGCGCCACTCACAGCCAGCGCGGACGCGCGCTTGCCTGCGTGTATCACAGCGACGGCGCCGCCCCGACTGCTCACGGGGGTGCTCGAGGGACTCGCTCCGCTGCCGCTGCCGCCGCTGCTGGTTCGCGAGCCCGTCGACAGCGTCGTCCCGTCTGTTCCTGTGGCGCCGTTGCCGCCAGGTCCGGCACCTGTGCCTGTGCCGGAACCTGGCTCAGAGCCAGCGCCGGAGGTAGGGTTTGAGCCGGGGGCAGAGTTCGTACCAGAGGCAGAATTTGAACCAGAGGCAGAGTTTGAGCCGGAGCCTGAGCCGGGCCCAGATCCGGAGTCGATGCCTGTGGTTGCGGCCGTGACGTCGCCGCCACCGCTGCTGCCGCCATTGCTGCTGCCGCCATTGACGCCACTGCTGGCACCGCCGCTGCCTCCAGACGTTGTGTCTGGGTTGCCGTTTGAGTTCGACGGCTCAGCGCCTCCGTCTGAAGTAGGGTTGGGCGGCGCCACGGTGTTGCTGCCTGCGGGCGCGGTCGGACGGTCCCCGTCTGTGTTTGGAGCGGGCCCCGAAGGGTTGCTGGGCTCGTTGCCTGTTGGGGGTGGTTGCGGTTCTTGCGTCGCAGGCGACTCAGCGGGCGGTGGTGGGTCCTGGTTCGAAGGGCTTGGTTCTGTTTGACTTGGCTGCTGTGGCTGACTGGTCTGCTTGGGTGGCTGAGGTTGCGCGGATGTCGGCCTAGCCGTGGTGGGGTTCTGTTCCTGAGTCTCCCTTGGTACACTGGAAGTCGGGCTCGGTTTCGCAGTAGTGAGCAGAGGCGGCGTGTAAGCTACACTTGTCGTGTGTCCGTAGGGTGGATCGAGTTCACCACCTTGAGCATTTGGGAAACATCTTGCCCACGCAGGCTCCTCCTCGAGCACCGTCCTTGGAATGGCAAGAAGCGGCGAGCAAGGATCAATGTTGAAGTCATCTGGGTTAGCGGAGGTGGAGTCATTCCCTCCGGCAGTTTTTGGTAAAGCGGGGATGCTGTACGTGTTGGTAACTGGAGAGCAGGACGCTAATTGTGACCAGTCAATCTGCTTCGTTATCTTGGACCAGTGTGTCGTGGAGTCGTGTGGGTTCGTTATTATAAAAGAATAGAAAGATATAGTGCTGACATCGTCGGGCGCCATGGCATAGGTTTTGCCGGTGATCGTCTATGGAGAAGTTAGAGTGGAACGACATATTTCAGGTTGGACTACACACCTTTCCGACGGGTCGTGTACTTCCGTCGCAAACCTCGAATGCGGCAAGCTTGCTAAATGCCAGAGATACGCTGGAATCGCTGGCTAGCGCGTTAATGAGTCGGAAAGTCTCGGCTGTCAAGGTGCACTGGTCCGCAATACAAGCGGAAGAAATCGGGATGAACGAAGAGAATCGTGTGGTCATCGTCGTGAAAGTTGAAGGGGGTATTGTGATAGATGGTGTCGGCGTGGTTCCGCTGCTGGACAGCACTGAGGAAGAAACCGTGACAATTATCGAGGTCTCAGTCAACACACTACTGAATGGTGGTGACGTCGACGATGTTTCACTACTAGACAACCCTGAAGATGAAGGATTGGTTCCAGTAGTAACGCTTGGACTGCTGGACGACGAGACTGAAATTGTAGGGGATGATGTTAATGTCTGGACCGAGGAGGGGTCTGGTGTAGATAGAGGCGTAGTTGTTGTGCTGGAAGGTGTGTTAAACGAAGGTGTCGGTGATGTAGTGCTTTCAGATGAGGGAACATCAGAAGCCGGAGTCGATGATGGTATAGAAGGTGAACTTGAAGTCACTGAATCGCTGGGTACGGTTGGAGGCACAGTCACTGTCGGAGTGCTGACAGTTATTACACTCGACGACGAAGGCGGTGACGTGGTAAGCGTCGTTGATGGAACATTCGGGATCGTGGGTGTTTCAGTGGTGAGGATCGATGTGGATTCTGTAGGAGTGGAAGTAGATAGTGTTGAAATGGTAGAACTGGTACCACTCGACGATGGTGGAGACGTTGTCGTGATAACTGTATCGGGCGGAGTGGTAGTAGTAGTGACAGTGATTGGGGGTGGCACTATTTCTGATGTTGTAATGGTCGTGGGAATGGTACCACTCGACGGTGTTGCGGAGGTTGTCGTAAGAGTTGTATCGGGCGGAGTGGGAGTAGTAGTGACAGTACCTGGAGGTGGCACTATTTCGGATGTAGTAATGGTCGTGGAAACAGTAGGATTTGGAGTGGTAGTATCACTTGAAGGTGAAATGGGGGAAGTAGGAGGAGGGGCTGGACTAGACGACGAAGACGGGCTCGTTGTCACTATTGGTATAGTTGTTGGCGGGATAGTAGCCGTCGACGGAGGCGGTGCAGTGGGTGTTGTTGGTACACTGCTGCTGCTGGGTGAAGATGGTGATGAAGACGGTACAATCGTAGATGGTGGTGGGATTAGAGTGATTGTGGTGGGACTAGTCGGAGTACTAGTTGAGATGGTAGGAGAGCTACTAGGAGTAGTGGTAGTGGTGAGGGTAGTAGTAAGGGTAGTAGGGGTAGTAGTTGTCGGAGTAGTAGTAGTTGTCAGAGTAGTAGTGGTAGTAGGAGTAGTAGTTGTTATCGGAATAGTAGTGGTAGTAGTAGGAGAGGTAGGAGTAATGGAAGAGGTGGGAGTAGTAGTCGGATTAGTAGTTAGAGTGATGGTAATCGGAGTAGTAGTAGTTGAAGTAATGGTAGTTGGAGGAGTAATTGGAGTAGTAGAAGAAAAACTGGGAGAAGTAGAAGAGAGGCTTGTCGGCGGGCTCGTCGGTGGGCTTGTTGGTGGACTTGTTGGCGGGCTTGTTGGTTGACTTGTTGGCGGGCTTGTTGTCGGCGTGCTTGTTGTCGGTGTGCTTGTTGTCGGCGTGCTC